TACAGGGAGGCTACTTTTTTATATACATAAATGGGTAACTTCTCAACGGTAATAGATTCAAACTCTGTTAAAATAGATAAAAGTTGAAGCATTTTTCTTAAAATCGCTGTATTTCAAAAACTGATAACTTGGTGTTTTGTTAACTTTTGTTAGGTGGTTCAACATCCATCTAGAAAAAAAATATTCCTCCCTTAAGGGAGTAATGATGGGAGGTTTCAAACTCTCGATTCACGACCGCTCAAGACTGCTGACTACCGCTCACGACTACTCCCGATTCACGATTGTTCACGATTTACGACCACTCACGACTGTAATAATTTAAGACTTCTCACGTTCACGCACAATCACGTTTGAATAATTTTATTCACGCACAATCACGTTTTTTGTCGTAATTATTTACTTAAACAAACCGAAACACCCTGTATGATATAAACACGTCTTTATAATATTTATTCGTCCTGTTAATCGTTTGTTTCCACTTTGCACTAATAATCACAAATTTGACCTAACTAGGCACGCATAAATTATGCGGCATAATACGACGAATGTTAGCAAACAAAATAACAAAATTATAAATCCCCACTTTTTTTCATAAATTTTAGACAGGACACTTTTTAATGTAGATGTCAAACGGTTCCGAAAAGCTAACTTTACCGCGGCGGTTTTTTTATTCACTAGCGGTAGCAATTGTAAAAATTTACAAAAAATATATGAAAAATCTTAGACTTAAATCTTTTTAAATTATTTAAATAATTTGCCGACTTTTATAAAGACTTAATTCTTTTTTTGACTTAAATCGTTTCTATCTGACTTAAATCGTATGTACTGATTTAAGCCTTTTATTAATGACTTAAGTTTTTTCTATTTTGAAAAAATATTTAAGTCTCAAATCATTTTGAAAATTACTTAAATTTTAAGTCTTAAGTCAGTTTTAGAGAAATGACTTATTACCAAATGACTTCAGTCATTAAAACGATTTAAATCAAAAAAACGATTTAAGTTTTCTGAGAGCTTGCAGCTCTGATTACCTATATCAGATTTTTTTTATAAACATTTTAACGAATACATTAAAAATTACTTTTATTTAGAACATTCAAATATTAAGTATCTACTTTTTGTTGATTTTAACGAGCTAAATTAAAATTAATTTAACATTAAACGCTTTATTAAAAAAATAACAACCAAACCTACAGAGTGTAATTTATTATTATTGAGAAATGCAATTAAACGGAATATTCTAAAATTTTATGTAAATAGATTCTTTAAATACTTTATGTAGCGAAGTTTGCCGTGTAAACTAATAAAGACGTAATTAATTGAAATTGCATAATTTTAAGGTTAAAGCCATATTTGGATTTTATTTAATTGAAATTAGCAACAAATTACCTGAAGGTTTGTAAAAAAGAATGTACCCACAATCCACACAACAAGGTCTATCTCGTTTCGCGCATACTAAAAATTACAAAGTTAGGCAATCCACTGCACAGACTCTAACGGCGGCCATTTTTATGTTGTTTAGAATTCTTGTGCTTCGGGTTTGTGCTGTTTATACAGATTAACAATCTTTTTAATCATGGTGTTTCTTACAGAGGCACTTGTAAGCCTTAAAGTGCTAAGGGCAACCTTTTTACTTCCCTTTTGTAAGAAATAAAGCTTCTTTTATCAGGGCCGTCATCAAACTGTCAAATGTCAATTTTAAGGTTAATTTATGGGTATGGTAAATTTGTGGGTTATGGTAAATTAACCTTAAAATTGACATTTCACAGTTTGATGACAGCCCTGATAGAATAAGGTTTATTTTTTTTTACAAAAGAATACATACCTAATTAGGTATTTTTTATCGAAGTGTATACGTACAGAGGCGCCTCTGTAGATAAAGTTACGGTTATGTACAGAGGCAGATTAATTATCTTGGCTCCCTGGCTCCTAGAGATGCGCGTTTTATAGAAATGTACTCAAACTCAACAACACAACCCAACCGACCCCGCCCCATTGGGCCCCCCCCGCCCCATTGAGCAAAAAACCCAACTAAAATGGGCAAATTTATGTTACGATAAAAATAAAACACTTTCGGTTTCTATAAAACGCGCATGTCTAGGAGCCAGGGAGCCAAGATAATTCGGTGCCTCTAGACGCTAGCATTTCAAATATATGGTACCTAATGTTTGAAAATAAAATGAATTTAAACCATATAACACTATAGTATACAGTATAACACTATAGTATACAGTATACTGTATACTTAATACAAGTCAACGCGTCTCTGTATATTGATATTTTTTACAGGGGCGCCTCTGTACATAACCGTAACTTTATCAACAGAGGCGCCTCTGTACATAACCGTAACTTTATCTACAGAGGCGCCTCTGTACATATACACTTCGATTTTTTATATTTAATTGGTACTCCCATCAAGCCCTTAATTTTAAATACTTTGACATTTGTCATTTAACTGTCAGAATTATAATAAACATACGAGGTGTGTTCAGAAAATATCGTGAATTTGCGTTTTTTGAAACAAATATTTATTTATTCGTCTACATTAATGTTGTCGCCTTCAAAATAGTCCCCATTGGATATTATCGATATTATCGATATTATGCACATGTGCAAGCTCTTCTTCCAATACTCGAAACACTTCTAAAACTCGATTTGGTATAGCCTTTAGTTCTTTCAGCGATGCGCTTTTAATGTCATCTATGCTTGCAAAACGACGGCCCTTTAAGGTTCTCTTTATTTTTGGGAATAGGAAAAAGTCAGACAGAGGCATGTCTGGCGAATATGGAGGCTAGGGCATCATTACAGTATTGTTTTTGGCCAAAAATTATGTTCAAAATTTGACAATTTTAGAACAAATTTTGCTGCCACGCGTTTCATACCCAAAACATTCGAAAAAATTTCATTGGATGAGCCAATCGATATACCAACATCATCAGCGACTTCTCCGATGGTTTATAACGGTTTATAACCATTTCTTCCACTTTTTCCATGTTTTTATCGGTTGTTAATGTGCTTGGGCGTTCGTCATCTTTAACGTCTTCACGGCCATCTTGGAAACTCTTATACCACTTGTAAACTCTTGTTTTACTTATAGCAGACTCACTATAGGCCTTTGTTAACATTACAGAATTTATTTCATTTTTTAAGCAAAATTGGATACAAATTCTTTGATCCATTTCTTTTAACGAACGAAAAATCGCCGAGTTCATAAAACACGTCTAACCTTAACGGCTGCCACAGACAAAGTAAACAATGAAAACAGCTACCTAAAGTTTTTATCATACTTCGGGGGCATGCATACCAAGATAATAAAGCAAATTTTATGAAAACCGGACCCTCTGAACTCGCGAAATTTAACAATTCCCGTTATTTTCTGAACACACCTCGTACATGTGTATATAAACATACAAATATTTGTACGCTGTGAAAGCAAATTTGCCTATTTTGGGACGTAAAGTTACCTATATTTTATCAAAGGTAAAGTAATTGCATTTTTTAACCCATACCTATTTGAAATTTCACAATTTATAAACATATTCTTATAATTATAAAATAACCACAATTATATTCTCCACTAAACTGGTTTGTTCTACTCAATGTAGCCAATTATAAATTTAGGGTCCCCAGAAACTAAACCCCCCAATTTTTGACGTTGTGAAATTCCGAATTCCGAAAAAACGAACTGTAGAAAAATCTGGCAACAGTGTCCGAGAACAGCAACACCTATAAATATCTCAAAAACTACTATTAATCATAGATAACAAAGCTATTAATGCGAATGAAAATAATTTGATTCGAAATTATTTTATTTATAAAGCATTTATTATTTTCAACCAACAGCTGTTCATATAATAGTCTCTCGTTTCAATATATCTTGAAACCATTTTTTTTATATTTTTGCTTATTCTTGTAATTATCTTTGTAATCCTAGAAGCATGGATTATTTTTCTTTTTCTGACAATAAGTGATATTTAAGCTTGGGTTTAAAGAAAAGATTAAGCAAGATTTTAAAAGATTTCAGGTAGGTAATGAGGTATGGAATTATAAATTGTTGATTTATGGCTAACTCAAAATGTAAAACATAAAAAACCATTTTCGGTTGTTTGTAAGCAAAAAAAAACATTTGGAAGCATAATAATCGGTAGCTGTTGTGTTTATGTTTAATGTTTAATTCAACAGAGCAAGAGGCAAAGATAATGATTATTTAGCTGAAGGAATATGCAATGTGTAACCATGTAGTTATAATTCTAATGACTGGTTATTAATAATATAAGAAAAGTCGACGTTATCTTGGAAAACAAAAGAAGTAAAGGTAGGTAAACATAACATAGGCTATTTACTTTTATATTATTATTCAATAATTCATTTGAATGCAGTCGAAGGTGATGATGTAATATGTTGACAATATATAAATATGCATAGGTATCTACCACGTTGGGATTGGGATCATTTATCCCGGATAATACGTTGATTATAAGACCAAATAATTTTTTAAATGTGTGAAAAGCATGCACAAGACCATGCACTGCCAAGGTTAATCAGAGATACAGTGAAATCTTTTTTTTTGTATTAGTTTCTTATTTTATCTTTATGTTTTTTTTTTAAACAGGTAGGTAAGTAGGTATATTATATAGGTAGATATATATTATCTAACTTAAAATGACAATCGTAATACCTACAGTTATAACTTGGGATTCTAAAGACAATAGCTGTATTTAAGGCAGTTAGTTATGTAGCTTAATTTTACATTCTTTGGGATGTTATATTTAGCTTAAAATGACATTCTTAAGAGTGTCATATTTAGCTTAGTTTGTTAGGTATTTCTAGAACTGTTATATCTAGCTTTAGTTGAAATTGTTAAGACATTTATAGATACATCTAAACTTATAATATAAGTTTATTATTAACACACAAGATCTCCAAATGTGTGGGCAATTTCATCAACAAATAGCAAGATATCTACGTAGATTTGTTGTTTGGTGTGCATTTCCATTACATACCTGTTTTGTCGAATTCGTCTGGAGTTCTTCCTCCGGCCATAAGCCATTTGCACCAATCTATAGTTTCCCAATCGTCGATACTTTCGGCTGGGTTGAGGATGTTGTTTAAAACCTCGTTCAAATAGTGCGGATTCGTGGCGTTGGCGTGTATGTACGCTGCAGTGGCCCTCTTGCCCTTGGCCATAAGCACTTTAGCCTCAAATGTGCTCGTTGAGGCCATAATTAAACCTTAATAAACGCACATGTCACGCACTGTTATTATTAGGGATTTTGACGCACAAAACAAATCACTCTCGACGGGAACGTCAACAAATGTCACGGAATGTCACTCGGCACTCAGCCTACTTTGCTCACATAACTATACGTCAAACTTTTCGACACTTTTGCGACCGAAAAACCGCCCGTGGAAACGATGGCTGTAAACTGTGAACTTCTGTCTCTTTTTTACCTATGTCGACGAACTGTGAAGGTATTTTGAACAGTCATAGAACTCTTAAAACGAGCAATAATAATCTCTATCCACTCTTGACGTAAGGTTGCTTTGGGAGATTAACGTCACTTTTCACGCAGGTTAGCCAACAAGTCTTCTTGTGCCAACCTCAAGGAAATTAAATTGACAGAAATAATGATTATTCTCTCGAAATAAAGCGATTTTTTGGCAAAATAAAGCACTGTTTTTTAATAATAAAAAATAGAAACTAATGTTTTTGTGATATTCATAATTCATATTGCAAATTTAAAAAATGTTCGTCTATTACTTTAGGCAACTCAGTATACACAAAAGGATTATACGATTGTCTACGTTTATTTATTATTTTAAAATTGTTATTTTATACAGGGTGTACCAGAAAACTTTAACAATGGTTTCCATATGAAAAAAACTATTATTATATACTAATAAATCCACTGTAAAATTTTCTCTTAACAATTTAGGCATACCTATATGTATGTATGTATGTATGCACAATTGTGTGGATTGTGTATGTATGTATCTCGGTGTAGGCCCTGTATCTAAAAAGGTAAGATAATAATATTATAATAAACCAAACCAATTTTACATTTTTAATTTTATCAAAAAAAAAACAGAAAATTTACCATAAATTTATTGATTTTGGGATAGTCATGGGAAAATTAGTTTGTTTATGCACTTTTTTATCAAAAATTTTATATATTAAATTCAAATTTTATCTGCATTCAACAGAATTTCTGTTACAGAAATGCAAACCAAAGCATAAACTTATCTTTGAAACAAACTTTGGATGAGTGATTCCCCAATACAAAAAAGAGTTGTTCCAGAGACTTGCTAGATAAACATTTTTTAGTGTACAGGGTGTTATGTAATTAATGTTATATATTAAAATACTGAATACCTTTTGACATAAGGAATAAAGAAAAAATATTTAAAAAAATCTTTTTCCAAAGATAAAGAAAAAATATGCATTAGAAGTTTTTTTATATTTTTTGTGATACGCCACTGGTTACACACTTAGTTTATCTCTGCACCACAGATTATAACACTTGTATTTTGTGAGTACATGTATTTTGTGAGTACATGGATACCAACCAACAAAGTAGCTACGCGTTGCCAGATGTAAAAAATTGTTACTAAAAATTTTTCTTGCAAAAAATAAATAAAAACTCAATAAATACAAAAGTTTTATGCCCTTAAAGCTCTAATACCCTTCTGTATTTATTTACTCATCCAGCTATTAGCTTAAGCAATGATTAGAAAATTAAAAAATCCATAACCACAAAATTAATTTTTTCATCAGTTTTTTTCTTTCTGTTTACTCTGATGAAATTGGGACCAGTTCACAGGTTTAACTTTAAACATTTAATTTGTGTAAATAAATCCAAAAGCACTTCCCTTAGTTAAGATATTTACAATTTGAGCACATAACCTAAAATTTGAAAGAAATGCACTAGATTCTGTCATAAAAGTTGGCAGATTTTATTTGAATTTACCTTCAGGACAAAAATGACAAAACCAACTATTAATAAAAACGCCAAATTGACAACTTGCATTGTTAATTTTGTCATTTTTGTAATTAAGCTAAATTTAAATAAGGTTTGTCAACTTCTTTGACAGATTTTGGAAACACTGTTGTTACCAACCATAACATAAAAAATTAAATTAGGCAACCAGAATAGCCTAAAGTTGCTAGTCGATCAGTGGCATACTTTTTGGTAGGATAAAGGTTATTATAAATTATTTTTAGACTTTGGAATTTAGAAAAAAAAGTTTCAGGTGCTTCTTTATGGACCCTACCCAGGAAGCAAAAACTACTTTTTAGTTAAAATAACATCTATTTCACGTCCCAAACAAGTCATATGTCCGCCCTAAATAACATCACAAATATGACATCCTAAAATAACGTTATTTTGATGTGAAAGTTACATTATTTTTAGGATGTCATAAAATAACGTTATTTCAATATCTAAATCACGTTATTTTAGGATGTCATATTTGTGATGTTATTTAGGGCGGACATATGACTTGTTTTGGACGTGAAATACATGTTATTTTAACTAAAAAGTAGTTTTTGCTTCCTGGGTAAGGAACAACCCATTTTAATATATAACATTAATTACATAACACCCTAGTAATTAAAATGGCGTTTATAAAACTTGATACATAATATATACAGCTGTATATATTATGTATCAAGTTTTATAAACGCCATTTTAATTACTAGTTTAATTAGGCGAAGCTTGCGAGCGAGTGTTTAATAAGAGTATCTAGTTTGTAAACGAGTTGCATACTATGTATATTTTATCTATGACGAACACAAAACAGAATTTAAAGCCAGTTTTATTTGTTAAAATTTGACATCTGTCAACTGTTACCGGAATTTAACCTCACTTTTCCTAATTTATAATATAGCCAACTTCAGCCCGTGACTAAAAAGCTTAAAAGCGACTGTTTATAACTTCAGTCCGTGACTAAAACGCCATAAAGTCACAGCTTATCAATGGTGGAGTAGATAAACATTATTTTAAGAAATAAGATTTTTTATAGATAAAACAATTATTAGTTTGTATATCGTAAGATGGTACCATTAAAATTTTATTATTTCACCAACAAAAATGGGAAAAACTTTCAAAAGTAACATTTATTAAAAATATATGGTTGTTTAAATTATTGTTTAAATTATTTCATTAATTGATTCTTGTTTTATTATTTTTTATTGACCTCTTCAACAAGTGTTTTCTTTTTTGTTGACATACCTACGCTAATTCAAATTTAGGTCACCAGTTAAAATTAACACTTTAGATATAAATAATCATTAATACAATACAACTATCGTTTAAAATAAATCTAACATCTTGCACGCCACTGTGGAGGATTCAAGGCCGCCCAATCTTGTCAAACTTATTTATCATCTGTGAACATGAAATTCGCCAAAACTCAGGAACAACACTGCACGCGAGTCGTTAAAACCTCTGTTAAAACTATTCGCTTTTCAAAGCTGGTGCACATTCAGAGATGAAGTTCTGAATGACGACAGTGCAAAACAAAAGAAATGAAGTTCGGCGTGGTTGTATTGTTCCTCGGGGTGCTAGATGTGCTGCCCCTTGCCAACGGGTTCGATCCCAGACTTTTGGTGACAGTTCCGCAAGTGATTTTGGAAGTTGTTAGTTTGACGTTGAAAGCGAGAAAAATAATAGGCAAATATAATGGTATTGACTCGATTCCGCACCCTCTGTTGGATAGAGCTGAAAGAGACATTTTTAAAAGACTGGATTTGATTAATGATCGTTTGGATTATTTAACAACAAGGACTGAAGGTAGGCATTTATGATAAAAACAACATTGTGATGTTATATCATATATTATATGATAGGGACTGTCTACGTATCCTACTAGTAGGATGTTTATCCAGTTCGCTAAATATCCTACTAATAGGACAAATAGTACCAAAGCTAAATATCCTACCATTCAGCGTATTTCATAAACCATGATATCAAATAAGAAAAAAATTAAGCCAGCTAACTAAGTTTGTGTTAGTTTTAGTTTAAAAAAAGAACTAAAGGGAGCCTTAAGGCTCCCTATTCGGAATATAAAACCTGTCTTTGATTATTCACATTGGGTTTTTTACCAAATAATTTGTAATTTAAACATTATTTTAATCATCCTTAATATTATTTAAATAAATGAAAACATTTATATTCTATATGTTCTAACATATTAGAACAGAGGGACAAAATCTTTTATTTAAATATATATATTGAATGTAAAATAACACATCCACTCTTAATTTAATTAATAATAAATCATCAATCAGTGGTCATTTAATTCCATTATAGAGATTAGGATTTTAAAGTGTCGAAAAAAAACCGGAAAAATTGGGGAAAAAATTTTATTGCCAAGGTTATGATGATTAGCTGTCATCTTGGTTATGCAGGTACACTACATTGTGCCATACCAAACCAACCCAAACTTAACAACCCAACCCAACCGACCCCGCCCCATTGGGCCCTCCCTCCCCATTGAGCAATAGAGGTATAATATATCTAAGGGCAGGGTCAGTTGGGTTAGGTTGTTAAGTTTGGGTTGGTTTGGTATGGCACAATGCAGTGTACCTGCGTAACCACAGTTACATTAAAAAGTAAATAAAAGCACAAAACAGCCCCACACCCATAAAACTAATGAAAAAAACGCAGGGCAACGTCCGCCTCAGACGTGGAAATAGGATTTTTCACGTACAACGTACAAATAATAATTGACAAAGTTTTGATCTTCATACTTCTTTATCTCGAAAAAGGAATTGAATATCTCTCCAACGTTGCAATCCATTATAATTTAATTATTGCAGTCAAACAAATGGTGTAAAAACCTAAACTAACCTCACTTTTGAGTGTTGTTTTTGCCGAATTCTGAATAATAGTAGGATATTTAGCCTTACTACTATTTGTCCTATTATATAAACTATAGTCGGATATTTAGCGAACAGGCTATAAATCCTACTAGTAGGACACGTAGACAGTCCCTATATGATATTATCATGATGTGGCAACAAAGGATATGTTACTTTAATTGTTTAACAAAAGAAATACAAATTTAGGTTTACTAATTTGGCATGTATTAACAATACCTATAATTTTTATTGTTTTATTTAATAAGTCATATTTAAATACAAGTAAAAGTACTACCGTATTTACTTGCAGACTATTTATTTCCTTAAAATCATTACATTCAAGGATTCAAGTTTTCTTGATTGTTATTTTTAAAGCATACCTAGGTAATTGTTAATAAATAATGTAAATTTTATGGGCATTTTGTTTTGGGAAATGTATATTACATAAAAAGTATTTTATTTCATAAAATATACCTATAAATTAAGTATAATTAAATTAGCGATTACCTATATGGTATATAGACTATAGTTTGTATGAAAAAACGTCCTATTTTTGTTATGCCCAAAATATTATGATCTTAATTAAGGGGTGCACCTCTATTATTAGATAATTATTACCTAGAGAAAAACCCATATGGGTTTTATATGCATATGTTGGAAAGCCACTGTCAACCACTGTCGGCAATACGTGTACAAATTTTATGCAG